ATGCTGGTAGTCCCAGCTACTCGGGAGGCTGAGGCAGGAGGATTGCTTGAGCCCAGGAGTATGAGGTTGCTGTGAGCTAGGCTGATGCCATGGCACTCTAGCCCAGGCAACAGAGCAAGAAAAAAAAAAAAAAGAACCCATTAATGGTGCTAGGCAATATGCTAATAATAGGTATTTGGTTTATAAGAGACTTCTATTTTGAGGTGTTATTCATGAATCTAGCCATTCTGTGGAGAAACTAGGAGCTTTCCTACAGTGCTGTTGGAAGTGTAAATTGGTCTTAATATCTATGAAGGCAGTTTAGCATTGTCTTTCAAACAAACAAATAGTAATAATTTTTGCCTTAGCAAATCCGCATTTCATAATCTACAGACGTTTGTAAGAATATTGTTTATAATAGCAAAAGATTAGAATCAACCTAAATGTTCATCAGTAGGGGACTGGTTAAGTAAGTTATAGTACATCCTTACAATGGAGTAGTATGTAACTGTAAAAGAGAAGACAACTCATATGCACATATAGTATGGAAAAGCCACCAAGTATACTGTTATTTTTTTAAAAAGCAAGGTGTGTAGTTACATATATAATAGCATGTCATTATTTGTGTAAAATTTGTATGTATGGGGGAGTACTATTTAATATTTGTTTATATATGCATATCCAGATTTCTCTGGAAGGGTAATAAGGGTGGTTACCTTTTTTTGGTGGAGGAAACTGGAGGAAATGGGATAGAGACAGAAAATAGACTTTTCACTATAAAGCTTCTTTTATACACATGTATTGAATTACATGAATGTATTACATATTGCAAAAGTTAAATAATTTATTTTAAAATTAAAATAAATCTAAGTATACTCTTTTACTTTAGATCAGATTTGCATGTTAGCACTGTTATGTTTGATATTTATGTTATTTCCATAAATTGAAAAAAGGCCACACTCTTCTTCATGTTTTACTTGTAAACTTTTTTCATTCAAGATTTTGGACCTGCAGCAGAAATTAGAAAATGTTCATAAAGTCTGTCTCACAGATAATTGTATTTTGGGGAAGAAACAACTAGAGGAAAAGATAAAAGAAGCAACAGAAAACGAAGCCAAAATAAAGCAACAATATCAGGAAGAACAACAGAAGAGGTAAGAGGACCAGCGATCTGAGTTTCCTGTGGGTTTAACTATGATTGAGTGCATCAGCAGCGTCAATTTACTCTAACAGAGTATCAGAGAGTATTTCCACTCTGTTCCCACTGAAGTAAACTCAGTCACACAACTTGTTATATATGACACTTACCACACTGTATTCTAATTGTTTACTTTCTTGTTTGCTTCGGGCACTAGAGTATGGAATTCTTAAAGTCCAAGTGTATTTCTTGTTCTGGGACACACCTGGATCACTGGTAAATTTTCTTGAATGACTGGATTGCCTATGAAATACAATATTCTGGGATTTGTTTTTTTAACTCTCTGACATGATTGGCACAACATTCAGACTACAGTGAAGTTGGTATTTTATATTTATCAGCTGATTTTCTTCAAAGTAGTTCCAAGTACTTTACAGGCATCTTAATTATCAACAAACTGCTACCAGATAGGAGCTGTCATATGTTTTTTCTAAAATGATTATGATTATTATGATGATTCTTTTGTAAAGCATCCTCTTGGATGCCCTAAACTTTATTAACCAATGCTTTGCTTCTTATTTATATGATACTCAGAGTGATTCACGTTTTGTTGTTGTTGTTATTTTCTTTATTTTTTATTGATCCATAATAATTGTACTCTGGCCAGGTGTGGTGTCTCGTACCTGTAATCCCAGTGCTCTGGGAAGCCGAGGGGGAGGATTGCTTGGGGTCAGGAGTTCGAGACCAGCCTGAACAAGAGTAAGACCCCTGTCTCTACTAAAAATAGAAAAAATTAGCTAGGTGTGGTGGCACACAGCTGTAGTCCCAGCTACTCAGGAGGCTGAGGCAGGAGGATGGCTTGAGCCCAAGAGTTTGAGATTGTTGTGAGCTATGATTGTGCCACTGCACTGCAGTCTGGGTAACAGGGTGAGACCCTATCTCTAAAAAAATTAAAAGAAAAAAATTTTTTTAGCTCCCACATAAGAGTGATATTTGTCTTTCTGTGCCTGGCTCATCTCACTTAACATAATGACCTCCAGTTCCATCCATGTTGCTGCAAATGACAGGATTTCATTCCTTTTTAATGACTGAATAGTATTCCATTGTGATTCACACATATTTTAAGAAAAATATGGTTTTAGCCACTAAAAAGATATGCTGATGTTCCCATATACTTTGGAGCTCAGAAACGGAAACTTACTTTCACCTTTTGTTGAAAGCCCTAGCATATTGAGGCCTGGCACTCAATAGATACCTAGTGAATATTTATTGAATGAATGTTTGAGTAAATGAATGAATGAATATATGTATGCATAAATAATGAATTCACTGAATGAGATGCTATGGAAAAATACTTTCTCAACTGCCACTTTTATCAGGATGGCAGACTATCCTCCTGTTATAATACATTAGATCCTGAATAAATGATGATAAGTATACCATTTAAAGCATTGCTTACAAGACAGCAAGAGAAAGTCCCAAGGGCAAACATATAGTGAACTGAAACAAAAATGATGAATAGTGAACAAAAATCTAAGCCAAGAGGCAAATAACAGTATCAGTCCTGTGTTCAGAAGAAGCCAGGGAAGCTTGCCATGAGGTAGAATAGCTGAACTAAGAAAATCCAGATTATCCCAGGAGGAAAACAACCCCAAATTAGATATTAAGGATCCCCATATATTAAGTTTAATCAAATATAAGCATATAATTCAAAAATCACCAAACACCATAGGAAGCTGGCTACCATGAAAGGAAAGTCAGCAGAAACAATAAGCACCAGATTTATAACCTCCAAGAACCTCAACAGTTGGAATTACGAAGAACAGATTATAAAACAACTATGTTAAGTTTTTTAAAGAAACAAAAGATATAATCAAAGACTTAAACAATGAAAAAGTCTATTTAATTTTTCCAAAGCTTAGTGTCCTTATCTCTAAAGGGGGGATGGTAATACCTGTTCTATATATCTTTCGTGAAGATTTGCTGGGAAGAAATACATAGAAGCAATATTTAAACTAAGTGCTGGGCTGGGTGCGGTGGCTCATACCTGTAATCCTAGCACTCTGGGAGGCCGAGGCAGATGGATTATTTGAGCTCGGGAGTTCGAGACCAGCCTGAGCAAGAGTGAGACCCTGTCTCTACTAAATATAGAAAAAAAAGACCCAGGCAACTAAAAATAGAAAAAAATTACCTGGGCATGGTGGTGAGTGCCTGTAGTCCCAGACACTTGAGAGGCTGAGGCTGGAGGATCGCTTGAGCCCAGGAGTTTGAGGTTGCTGTGAACTAGGCTGACACCACGGCACTCTAGCCCAGGCAACAGAGTGAGACTCTGTCATAAATAAATAAATCAATAAACAAAGTGTAGGAAAATGAAATATATAGGGAAATTCTTCCACCAAAAAGGAACTATATAGTATATATTGTTTTATAGCCTGGAGGAAAGTAACCCTAATTTAGGGAATTAAATTATGCCCTACTTTTTCACTTAAAATGTTATCATCTGTTTATCCGATATTAAATTTTCTTCTAGACCATTATTTTAATGATATGCCATAATTTATTTAATAAATCCTTTATTGTTGAACATTTAGATTTTTTCCAGTTTCTTGCTATTATAAATAATGATATAATATATATCCTGAAGCATAATGAGCATTTATATCAGTCAAGCAGTAGAACCAGTAGGAGGAGTATATATTTAATGAGATTTGCTACAGGGATTTAGTCTTATGCAGTGCGGGAGCTGGTTATGCAGTCTGTATGACTGTCATCTTTGCATCTTATGCTGGAGCTTGAAGTCTGCAGGGCAAACAATCAGTAAGTGAAGCTGGATGTAAAGCAGGGAGAGCAACAACGGTGCAACCTATGAGAATGGACTGTAACCCATGTCAATTCTCACTCCCTCCAGCCTTGATAAAGTAGGTATCCTACAGGAGAAGCAGGCCTTCTTGATCAAGGAGCTAAACAGACACCTGGCCAGGAGATGGAAAAGGTTAAGGAGGATCCAAGGAAGCTGGAACACTTGTAGGGCTGGCTATTGCCTCACACCAAGGTCAGTGGCAGATATGTGGCAACATGTATGAACTACAAAAATGTGTGCTCCAACCTTCCAAGTATAAAAACCAAAGTGCTTCACTTCTGCCCTCTAAATCTTGCACGCATATATCTCTTGTGGCCCACTTTAACCAGAAACATACATGGGAAGGAATTCTAGGCAATGTTTATCCAGGCTAAGTTAACATATTACAAAGCCACTACGCTAAAAAAAGTGTTTTATTGTTATCATATTTGATGTTGTTGTTACTATTATCATCATCATCTTCTTCAATAAGGTGAAATAAGTTCATTTGGCTAAAACAAAATGTTTAGAGATAAGGGAAGCGGCAAGAAAATGAAGCTAGATAGGTAAGCTATTCCTAGGTCATGCAAAACTTAACAAACCACATTAAAGAGTTTGGACCTGTTCATGAGAGATATTTATCTGTGGTTTTCCTTTCTTGTAATATCTGTATCTGGTTTTGGTATTAAGATAATGCTTACTTCAAAGACCTAATAAAGACACCATAAGGCAAACAAAATCTCTCTCTCCTTTTATTTTGCACTTTGCTCGAAAGGTAAACAAAAATCTTTTATTATCTCTTATTAATATTATATGCAGGTCGGGTGCGGTGGCTCATGCCTGTAATCCTAGCTCTCTGGGAGGCCGAGGCAGGCGGATTATTTGAGCTCAGGAGTTCGAAACCAGCCTGAGCAAGAGCAAGACCCCGTCTCTACTAAAAATAGAAAGAAATTAAT